GGGGTCCCAGGCTGCTGTGGGGGCATGGCGGGGAGGTCAATGAGAAAGCAAAGTCAGCGTTGTTCTGGGTAGATTTCAGGAAAAAAGAGGCCTGCACGACGTCCTGCCCACCGGGGCGTTGGGAAGGCCTCAGCCGGGTTTGTAGCTGGGTTTTAATTGGGAAGAGCATTGCGCCTCTGTTTTGTAGTGCTGGAAAATCCTTTCCTTCCTTTCTGTTCACTCTCCGTGTTTGTTAGTACGTGTTGATGTTCCGCTGTAGCACGATTACAGCTGTTATGGCACTGTTCATCCAAAACTACAAATACTGGAAACTGGGGGAGGTGCAGTGCTCCTAATAGTGTTGGTGAAAGCACAAAGCTGTTTTGGGAAGTCTGTCTGCAATAGTAAATTGGTTTGAAATGTCTGTCCAAAAACAAAGATAAATGTCTCTAATTACACATTAATTACCATGAAGATGCTTTCATTCTATTAAGCATCTGGATTTTTCAGTTGTTTTGACATTGACTGCCCTTGCATCCTTTTCCCTTTGATGCTCGCTAAAGGATGTGTTACATTTAATAATGGCAAATAAGTAAGCATTATCTCATACAAGGTCAAATCTGCTTTTCTTACCTGGCACTCTGGTTTACCGGATACTGATACTTGTGTATATAGCTGACTTAATTGGCTTGTATTAAGTGTAAATAGTTACTTAATTGGGGTGAAGTGAAGTATGTAAGACAGTAGAGCATGTACTACTTCAGTCTAATGTGCTGCAAATGTGTACTAATATGTTGCATGGGAGTTAGGGTAAGCTTTGTTTTAAAACACAATACAGGTTTTGTCTAACAGCTGCAGAGAAATAAAAAACATCAATAGGCTTCTTGCTCTTGGGGCATATTTTGAAAGTAAAATATTAATGATATATAATGAACTCAGTAGCTTAACATCATTTATTTTGCTATTTTGAGTAGAAATTTCCATGTTGGGAGAGACATCTTAGCTGTGGGGGAAGGAGGGAAGCTAACTTGGTAGCTGGAATAACAAACTTGGAAACTTGCTTGGTAGGAAGGAGCCTCCGAGGCTTGTCTGGAACAAGACTTTCCTCCTGAGAGTCTGGAAACATTAAAAAAAGCTCTCCCTAGCAGTGACAGTGGAGCCTCGCTATTGCTATTCTGCAAATGCTCTGTTGAGTCATCTGGGAAGCTTGGCATCAGCTGTAGCTTATTATTTTTTATTGCCTTGGTCCATAAATTGTAACCTTAATTCTGAATTGTCATTGCTTTCCTTTGGAGTAAGTACATTTACATGTTTGAGGATTATTTTTTTGACTTGTTAATTGTTGCTGATCTATATCAGGGATGTGTATGAACATATATATGTGCATGCCTATTAAAAATATAGCAGGTAAGAATACAGCTGCAAAACTCACCATTGCAAAACTTCTTACAATTTTCAGATGGTGCAGACCATGCTTCCAAAGTCATGGAGAGCCATGAAGTTCTACTTCACTACAGTGTATCAAGAAATATGGGTTGGTGTAGCATTAACAGGTTACGCCTATTACAAAATTTCATACGGTGGTAAGTTACACAGTATAGTCTTCATTAGCTGTTACTTTATAGAGAAGATATATTTTCTTAATGGTGAGAAATCAGTCACGGAAAATATCCAGTGAATAAGGAATTAACACTCTTACTTAAGTCCAGGTCTTTGCCATAACAATGTAGAAGTTTTAATGTGGTCAGTGTAGACGGTTACATGAACAGAATACTCAGATACCAGTGGAACTGTGCCTGCGTTATGAAGATGAGATGAAGTAGGGATTGGATTTAAAAACACATATCTGACTTGCAATGTATACCCAGAGGCTTCTGTAGGTTTGTCCAAGGAACAGCACCACCTCTTCTGACCATCTTCCTTATGAAGAATTTTTTCCATCTGTTTTTGTCTGATCACTGTGAATCAGTATTTTAGGAGAACAACGACAATGGGAATGTAATATAAGCTATTTTACTTACAATGGAAGATTTAAAAGCAAACTCTCTTCTTATCACTGCTGTTTACATCTGTATGTTGTGTGTGTCTATATATCCACATATTATGTAAAATAGTAGCATGGTGTATCTTTCCTGTGAATTACAGTAGGAGTCTTGCTGGGTACAATTTCTAAATGTATGGAGTTTTGATTAATTAAAACAACTCTTATAAAAAATCAATTACATGGACTGTGGAAAGTACATGTTGTACACTTTTTAAATCTTGCTCAAGCTAAGTTAGCAAATAGTAGTATAATCGAATTTGCGTTCACCTGCAAAAAAAAAATAGGAAATATTTTTAAACTGTCATTGTTCAGCTTGTTTTTTCTTTTTTCTTACTGTGGAAAGTACATGTTGTACACTTTTTAAATCTTGCTCAAGCTAAGTTAGCAAATAGTAGTATAATCTAATTTGCATTTACCTGCAAAAAAAATAGGAAATATTTTTAAGCTGTCATTGTTCAGCTTGTTTTTTCTTTTTCCAGGCAAAAAAAAAGCAGTGGCAGATAGTAAGTATGACATATCTCGTACTCTGTTGTATTTTTTTTAGATGAGTGCAGTAAAAATTAGCTCCGCATATTTTTATGTAAGTCTGAGGTTTAAGTTATGGCTTTAGAAAATGTTTAAAGACTACTTCACAATAGGTGGTTGTACTTGTCTTGATGGTTTTATAACCTAGAGACATCTGTGAACCTGCACAGGTGCTGCCTCTCTCTTATATTGTCCTTTGCATAGGTTTTAGAAGCAGAATGGAAGTTGTATGCCTGCATTGGGGAAATTATTTTAAATAATAGTGGCAGCCATTGGTGGAATTAATTAAATCAGCACAATCTCGAGAATAGCTGCAGTTTTATCTGTCAAGAATCTAAGTTGTTTAAACTTGTATTTTGAATTTGTATATTTATATCCTCTATAAGTGTTTAGATACTTATGGACAATTTATTTTGTTATCACATTAGAATTTAATTTTTCATGAGCTGCTGTATCTTAGTTAATTTTCTGTGTCATGATAGCCCGTGTGTACCCAGCTGAATTTGTATATGCAGACATTATTTACATATTTAAATGTGTAATTAATGAATATACTGCCCATAGACTTAAGGCTAATAGCATAAATAAACTTTTAATTTAGAAAGCACCATACTGAAACTGAGTAAGAACGGATGTTTGCCTACAGTAGTGCTTTACAACTTGCAGAGAGGATTTTTAGTTCTGGCCAAGTTTACGGATGTAGGTTGGGGGTTGGTTTTATTTGAGAGCGCAGTTGCACCTGGCAGTTCACGTGCTCTGCAGGCACAGTGGTGTGGTCTGGGATCTGCGCTGCGTTCCTGAACTGATGTGCTCTGCTGTTTGAACAGTCTAAACGTGTCTTTGTTTCAGAGTCCTCTGGTGCTGGCCATCATTAAAGACCTCTTCTCTCCTGGGAGTATGAACCTGGTGGTTCGTCGTCTTTACTGTACATGAAGCGAGTTACAGCCATAGGGAAGTTAATTCCAAAACTGTACCTGATCCATCTGCTGTAATTAGAGAGAATAAATCCATTGAGCGACAAGGAATTAAACATGTTGGACAAAGTATGCTGGAGTGTGTTGCTAACCTAACTTTTAGAATAAGCATTGCTTTCTACAGTTCTTCCAAGTTCCACGTTAAGCTTTTTCAGCAGCTCTTTGAAAAAGACCCAACTTCTATAACTAAACTTCTTAATAGAATTACCCAATATTTCTTGCAATAGCGTTAAGCGTCTTTCTTCTCATGATGCCTTTTTTGACTACAACTCTTGAAATACTCCATTTACTTTTAAAATGTCATTTACTAGTAGGCCGAGTGGGAGGACTTAATTCTCAGCTTTTCAGCAACTTGTGGTGCAAGTACCCCTTAAGGGTACAAAAAGTTCTTTTTAAACCTTACTTTTTAAAAGCAAAAGCTGTATTATTAAAACACCGTGCAAAATGTTTACAGATGTTTTGATAAATACAGTATTGGTGACTATCTTTTATTGTCCTTCATATTCAGTAGAGCTGAGGATTTATTCTGAATAGCCACAAATTTTGCAAAGAAGTAATAACATTCTCATATGAGAAAAGTGGTATTACATAGGGCTTCATCTGCCATTTGAGCTTATGAAAATCTCAAAGGGAGTAATGGAATCGCGCACTGTGGCAGCAGTTAACGTGAGCATAAACAGACATTTAACTGACTGCAAAAGTTCTACGTTTTCAGGAGAAAGGAAAAGTAATACATGTATTGCTAGGACGGGTCGTTAGTGGTTTTGCAGATAGCTCTTACAGTAACTCCAGAGCTAGTGTTACATTTTGGAGGCTCTGTGAAGCTGTACTATCTTAGAAAAATCAGTTTTCAGAACGGTACGTACTGCATTCTGTACCAGGGATACAGTGCACGAAACCAGAATTGGACTTCATGTCATGTTTTGTTTAAATTTAGCCTAATCTGCTTTTGAGAAGATTAAGAGGCTTAAGTCATTTTAATGACTTAATGCTTACGTACATCTTTTTAACTACTTCACAGAAACATCTTAAATCTTTCAGATTGATTACACTTTTGCTTTTCAATCTCTCTGACTGCAGTATCTGGCCATAACTTAAGTGTTTTGTGTTTGAATACTCAGGAGCTTGATAACCTTACCTGCTCATGGTAAACATTGCAAACACTGCATTGCCTTGAATGTCTTCAAAATTTCTGCTTCTGCTTAGGCTTAATAGCTATACCCACTGTGAGTAGAGTCAGATCACCAGTCATATTTCTCTGAAAGCTTTCTTTAAAAAGGCAGGTGCAGCATTACTCAATTTGAAAAGGTGACATCTCTCTCTCATGCATTCTTGACATTTCTGCCACCTTGCACAGTTGTCTTTGCTGTTGCATCCTCCCGTGATAGGTTTTAGCTGACTCTTTCATCACTCCCATCATTTCTGTATGGGTTTTTCAGTGTTTCCTCACCACAGAAGAATGAATGAGAAAGAACTTGCTATTTGTTCCTTTACATAAAACCAAAAGCATCCAGAAGAAGGGAACAGAGAGAAAATGGAGCTTCAAATGAGCAGATATTAGGGCAGTGGTGATTACAGGGTGGGTCAGAGTTGTGGTATAGTTAATAATTTATGTCAGGTAAGAAGGAGCTATACTTGCATTTGTAATGCAAATTTATGATCACTAAGTTACAGTTCCTGAGATACTACACATACTTCAAATGACCTGCTTTAGCAGTTTTCAATTACAGAGCTGAGGAGAACAAGCTAGGGGAAAAACATGAATCACTGCAGGATTTGCTTCACTGTGGCTAGAACGTAGCACACTGGGCCTGAGCTACACCAGCGTGCTGTCTGATCTAGATGGGAACTGGAAAACAAGAGGAGCTGCTGCTAACCTGGCCTTGGAGCACACTTAACTGCACCTCTAGGTAAACTTAACCTACTTCAACTCTTCATGCTTCTTGATATCTGACTTGTAGAATTTTCTAGTAGTACAAGTGGGCAGCAATGTCTGGGTTATGAGAACTACCAGTTTCCACTGAAACAATGCTGTGTGCAACCGGTTCTTCCATTAGTGCATCTCTGCTGGAAATTTCCGTGAAGGTAGTAGAATATTCCTTTCTGTTTGTGATCCTTAAGACACAAATGTCTGCAAAAGACAAGGGCAGTAAAACTGGCATTTATTTTTAAATAGATTCTTCTTTCTTGTGTGGCTTGACTCAAAGCAGAGCTCCACACACCCATGATGTGTAATGCCTGTAGTATCATCTACATGCTGTCTGCTCCTCTATGCTGAAGCATACCAGGCAGTAAAAAAATCCAAGAGAGGGAAGTTGGCTAAGGCAGTGCGAGTGCCATTTGCTTTGCAGTATGAGTATCTGGGGCACAGCCCTAGGTAGAGAAGCATTGCAAAGGAGTACCCTTGAAGTGAACGCTTATTTTAGAATATGGGCCTTTTTTCCCTAATTTAGCTAAGGTGATTTGTAAATCAAAACAAAAAGGTTTTCTTGTTCCAGGTAAGCATCTATATAGACAAGCCTCAGCTCCTAAGTAAACCTATTTTCTATGCAAATTACTACTTAAGATCAAGAGTTTTATCCATGGAGGTAATATTCATCATTATTCACAGTTAAACACTGGTGGGAGAAATGCTTACTGCGCATTGACAGATCATGCTGTTTTCATTTAGCTGCTGCCTCTTGATATTGCTGATGTTTCTAAAAGAAGAGGATTAGATTTAAACTTTGTGTTGTAAAATAGTTCAGCAATTGCAATTTTTATTTGTTGCCTGTGATAAGGCATCAGCAGTGACAAAAAACTGTTTATACCTTTGCAATGTTAGCGGAACAACAAACTCCTATAGGGGTTGAAAAGCCTCATCCCAGTACTGCAGCACCACCTTGACCAAGTTTTGCTGTGGCCCTGGCATTTTTTTAAAAAATACTACAGAACATGAAAGCTCAGCTGTAGAAATAATGACAGTGCTAATGCAAGATGCCACTGTTTTACAGTAGGAGTACTTCTGTTTCTGCCCCTCCATACTGGGTCTTACTTATGGCCAGGATTTCCTGTTGTGAAGTTCTGAGATTTCTAGAACATCTTCAAGTGTTGTCCTACAATGAGGGATCTCAGTGTATCCCCTGCATGCCAATAAGATGTTGTAGAATACTTGTGGGGAGCAGCAAAATACAGTCAGAGCTGAGGAAACATTAGTCACTGGGCCCAACCTACTGAACCTCTTCAGTGGGTAACTTGGGGAAAGAACCCCAATGTGTATTCAAGTTAATTGGGAGGATGAGTAAAGTTGCAGGAAATGATGTAAAGTAACTCCAGCAGCTGAACTCGTGAACTCTCTTGTTTATCTGAATCATGATAGCGAAGTCCTGTTTGAGGTACAAATACCGATACCGAGCTGGTATGTGGAGATGTGTTGTGCTTTCAGTCCCCAAGGAAGGAAAACCATCAGGTGGCTGTTAGACACAGGTGGTTATAGGTGACATCACCACCAGATGGCCCAGATGAAACTGAGGAAATCAGTGTGTGAAATCTCCATTGTTTCATTCCCGGAAATCTGTAAAGCTGCTAGGAAGGAAAAAATAGTAAGATAGGAGATCCCCTCAGGCATTAAATATGCTGGCTAATGATTTGGTAAATGGAGGAACAAGAAGTGACAAGATAGTGCCTGAACAGCAGGTTCTTTGTGCTGCAATTCCATGACCTTTAGCAACTCACATTTAGCAGCTCGTACTCTCTTTAAGAATATAGCACCATGTGACTCTCATTTGGTAATTTATGAAGAACTTGTAAGCAAGAAATTCCTGTATTCTGCTCCATGGCTGCAGGCAAACTACTGGGAAACAGTTCCTCCCCGAACTCAGATGAACTGACCACCACAGCAGTAGATAGCTTGGAAGCTTTAATTAAATTCTGCTGAGGGTACTATGGTTTCTTTGGTTGTGGTTTAACAGCCTGAGTACTCTGGCAGCTATGCCAGCTTCTGGAGTTTCCACCCTCATACCACAGCACCTCTTTCCTCATACTTGTGCTGATACAACTATTTGTGGATCAGAACAGGCAATTTTTCATAATTTTAGGGGGTTTTCCCTCCAATATAAAAAAAACAAGTACTTGGGTGGGGGTTTTTTTTTGTTTTAATTTGCATCCATCTCCTGGTCCTGTTTACAGCAAAGCTGCTTTATCACTGGCATTACAGCTCAACAGCATTATTTTTTTTGCAGAAAAGGGGCAGAAGCAGCAGAATTTCTAGCTCCCCTTTCACTCATTCGGTTTTCCTTAGTCACTGCATCCCCTACAATAATGTAAGGCAGGTTGCCTCCTCATACCCAGCCACGCACATGATCAAAGTGCTGTCCGTGCCGTAAGAGCTGTCATCAGCAGCACGCACAGGAATAAAAAGAATGCAGGCTCCACCCTGTACACAGATCAGGAATGGTAGCTTAGGCTTCAGCTGAAAGGCAGAAACTCGCTTCCTTCCTCTGTGACAGCACAGCGCTTTCTCAAGCTTACAGTATCACCTCATTAATGAGATAGGCAAACACAAGTAGGAAACGGAGAACAATTGCACCACAATACCCTAGTGCTCAGTACTTGCAGGAAGAATATTTCTAGTAATAAAGAATAAATTCAGTAGTGGTTCTTCAGATCAAATTATTTTATTGCTTGTCATCAAATGAAAATACACTTTTAATTATTATGAACTTCAAAAAACCTAAAGTAACAAAATTGAGACGACCTTTAACTCCTTTATCATATCATTAGTCCATACCGTATCATCAGTCACCTCAGCTGTCTGCTGGAGCAGGCAGCAGAGATTTCACAGAATCACAGAGTGGCTCAGTTGGAAAAGCCCTCTGAGATCATCATGTCCAGCCGTTCCTGTCTACCCACTAAACCATATC